AGCCAGACACGCTCAATTGGCCCGGATCAAAGCTTTGTTAGTGTGAGGAGACCATTCCCATTGTCGTGCGTTGGATGTTGAGAGAGAGTTGGTATAGGAAAGTTTGAGTTCATGGGAGAGAATGTAAAGGGTATGAAAGAGAGGGTTAGTACGGAAGAGTTGGTAAATGTGAGAGAGTTGGGAGAAAGTTGATTCCTTTTGAGAGAGGGAGAATGTGTTTTGTATAGGAGAGTTAAGAGAGTTTTTCATAAGAGGGAGTGAGTGACTTGGAGACTTAGAGAGAATTAGTATGGGAGAGGTGAGAGAGAGAGAGAGGGTATGACAAAGTTGAAAGAATAAGTATGAAGAAGAGAGAGGGAGTGAGAATGAGGTAAGGACTGAGTTCGAGTGAGTATATGAGTATACAGTGGGTAAGGAAGAGTGTGGTTATGGGAGAAAAAGAGAATTAGTGAGGGAGTTGAGAGAGAGCGTTTACTTTCTTCTTCTTTTTTGAGGGAGAGACAGAGAGAGATTCGTGGGGGTTCTCTGTGTAAGTGGGAGTGTTGAGAGAATTTAAAGAGAGTGGGGGAGAAATAATGATGATAGAGTGAGTAATGATAAGAGTTTGATGATGATGTGGGGTAATGATGAGTCTAAAAAAGGTAATTGGTGTTAGAGAGAGAGAGATTCGTGGCGGTTACATGTGTAAGTGGGAGTGTTGAGACAATTTAAGGAGAGTGGCATGGGGGTTGTGCATGCAAGTGGGAGTGTCGAGAGAATTTAAGGAGAGTGGAGGAGAAATAATAATGATAGATGGAGTAATAATGGAGTTTGAAAATGGTGATGGGAGTGTAATGATGAGTCTGAAAATGGTGATGGATGTTTGTGTGTGAGAGTGTGTGTATGAGAGAGAGAGACGAAAAGAATGAGAAGGAAATAGAGAAAGGGGGAAATGGGAACAGCATAGGAAAGAAAGAGGTAAGAGGTGGGAGTGTAATTGAAAAGGAGAGATAGTTGGGGGCCACATGAGCAGAGGAGAGAGAGAGAGAGAGAGATGGTGAGAAACATTAGAGAGAGTGACAACGACCGAGAGAAAGGGGAAAGTGGGGACCACATGGGAGAGAGAAGGAGAAAGAGGCCGAACCACACCGTCCTTAACCTCTCCATCCAACACTTCCAACCTTAACCTTCAAACTCTAATCTTCCAAACACACCAGCCTCTAGCCCGGTCCCCAGGAATATCAAGGAATAGAAGGCGACTTGGCATTTACTCTAACCAAAAAAGTCCTCCATTTTCCCTTCTAAATCCACTTTCAAATCACGACTTAAGTTCGTCGACAAATGGAGCTCTCAGTGAACACCCTGACTGATGGACTAACCTTACCTCCAGGTCCAGTAGACCATAGGTGCCATTGGCCAACTGCAATCAAATATTCAAGCGACTACTCTGTTCTGAAAAATTCCTCTTGTTCAACTTTGTACTGCTTTGATTATGTGGCTCGTGTGTCTACTTTGCCACTCGTCTTGTACCGCCTAAGTGAGACAGGAGCGACAAAGAGGGACAACTATAGACACCTCATTTCTCTCTTCTGGCTGAGAAAATTTCAAAAACCTGAAAAATTCTGTAAATCCTAGGAATTTGGCTCAGACCCTCTCCAGCCAAAATCCTAGTTTTCGCCCTAACATAAACCCACTTTCTTAATGAAATCCACACTAGGGATCATACAACCCTAGTGCACCTTGGTACTCCATACTCCCTACTTCATTCCATGTTCCATGCTCTACCCCCTTCTCTCTCACCTTTTCTCTCCCATGTGGTCCCCGCTTTTCCCTTTCTCTCATTCCATCTCTCTCCAACATTTCTCACCATCTCTCTGTCTCTATCTCCCCCTCTCATGTGGCTCCCACTATCTCTCCTAGTCAATTATACTCCCACCTCTCTTTCTCTTATATGGTCCCCATTTTTCCCTTTCTCTCTTTCTTTTCTTCACATTCTCTCCAATATTTCTCTCTCTCTCAAACCTCCATCATCATTTTCAGACTCGTTATTACTCCCCCATCACCATTTTCAGATTTGTTATTACTCCCCCATCACCATTTTCAAAATCCATAATTACTCCCTCCATCATCATTATTTCTCCTCCAATCTCCTTAAATTCTCTCAAAACTCTTACTTACATACAGAATCCCCACACCCTCTCCTAAAATTCTCTCAACACTCCCATTTATAGACGTAACCCCTACAAATCTCTCTTTCTCTCTCTGACCCCCATCGCCATTTTCAAACTCATCATTACCCACCCATCACCATTTTCAAACCCCATCATTACTCCCTTTATCATAATTATTTCTCCTCCACTTCCCTTAAATTCTCTCAACACCCCAACTTACACAGAGAACCCCCACGAATCTCTCTTTGTCTCTCTCAAAAAAAGACAAACACTCTATCTCTCAACTCCCTCACCAATTCTCTCTCTCCCATAGCTACACTCTTCCCTACCCACTGCATACTCATACTCATTCGAACTCTCTCCCTCTCTCTCCTTCACACTTACTCTCTCATACCCTCTCTCTCACCACTCCCATACTAATTCTCTTTTAACTCTCCAACTTATTCACTCACTCCCTCTTATGAAAAACTCTCTAACTCTCCTATACGTCTCAAAGGGCATTAACTTTCTCCCCAACTCTCCCACATTTACCAACTCTCTCTACCGTACCAACCCTCTCCATGCTCCCTCACTCTCTCTCTTACCCACTATATTCTCTCCCACAAACTCGAACTTTCCCATACCAACTCTCTCTCAACATTGGATACACAACGGGAACACCCTCGTACCGACAAAGCTCTAATCCGAATTAATCAAGCATCCCTAGCTCAACACTCTAACGACAACAGGAACATCCACCTCGCACTGATAAACTCCGATTAGGGCTGTCAACTCCGGGTGCCAGGCCTGTGGGTCCGGCTTCGCCTAAAATGAGTGCACACTCATTGTATATTTTTATTTTTGTTATTTATCTTATTTTTTTATTCTATTTCTAAAGAATTTTTTAAAATTCCCCCATCTTCCTTATAAATTTCTAGAATTTCTATTTTTTGATTTTTAAGTAAATTTTAGCCGGCACAGCCAGCAGACCACCTACGAGAGGACCATAGGGTCTTTTTTCTTCATGGTCCATAATTTGACAAAACCCCTAATCTACTACTAATCAACGAGTTTACATAAGAAGCGAGGTAGAAATTGTATTTTTCTATGCCAAATTTTGCATATGAACACTAATAGAGCATGAAATCACCCAACACATATAGTCAAGGTGTCAGGGCTATGCCTACAAATGTTGGCATGCGACACTAGAAGACAATAGGAGTGTCCAAGTCTCTCTCTCTCTCTAATGCACACACACGCAGAAGGTCGTATGTAGAAGTGCTGACACAGGAAATTAGAAGAAACTAGAATTGTCTAGAGCATCAGTGTGTGCACGCACGCTTGCAGGCACACACATCCACAGACACATTACGTGCCTACGTGTGTGTGTGTGCACATGCACCAATGGTGGAGTGGATATTAGACCATCATGAGCAACTCTAATCATGGTTTCTTGGATTTGTACTATTCAAACCACATATTCTCCTTTGTATAGATCCATAAACAGATGCCACGGAAAACCATGCTGTTATGACATCTATAATGCACTAAGAGGACACAAAACAATCTATAATCAGTAGTTAATTACACCTGCCAGAAAATCTAGCGTCAGGATTATGAGTCATTGAACTCCATATGTTTAAGCATTAGGCATGGGCAGGATAAGCCCCTAGGTTATGCTAATAACAAACAGAGAATGCCAGATGCTGCAGAGATATGAGACATAAATGCCTGAAATTGAGACAATATGTGGACTATCGAGTAAAATCTGAAGAATCAAAATTGTTGCTTATAGTAAGTACAATTCCCTAGAAGGATAAAGTCTTAGTCCAGAATTTCTACCCATGAATTTCACGTGACTCAAAAAGTAGGTCCATTTTACTAATAACTAAGCTTTAATTTCCTATGAAGTTAGCGTTTAACATAAAGAATTGTCACAAGCCAAACAGCCAAAAACTTAAAATCAATTTTCGAAAAAATGGCAATCCAAATCGGGAATTGCCCATTGGGATCGACATTGGTGGGGACCGACCCAGTTCCATGACAGAACCAGGAATTGGTCCGTTTTATAGGCACTCGCCAGTTCTATCAAAGAACTAGGAAAGTCTAAGAACTAGGCAATCAGGTTCCCACCTATTTTTTATTTTTTATTATTTTTCTTTTAAAATTTTTAAATATAAAAATAATATTAAAATTATGGACCGAATCCCAAACCGGAAAATCGGCCCGATCCAAATTGATCCAGCCGGAGGCCAATTCAGCAACCTGATCCAGGTGCTAAAATAGTGTTTAAAGTATTTGCATTCATAAAAACCAAGTGTCTGAAGTCTCACTGACGAGAGAAGTGAATAGTAATCGAAAGGGTGACATAATAGTTGAGTAAATATAGATAATATCCAATACATGGCACTGATTCGAGACCAGTGCAGCTTATGAGGCCATGCATCAAACTCTAGGCAGTTTGAATTTTGAAAGGCCATGACTAATATCATCGACCATTGACTGGTTTATCATGTTAAGTATGTAAAGCATTGAATTTGGACTTACAAGCCCACATGCTGTAATAATGCTTATAAGAAAGCAATTTGAATTCCGCAACTTTTTAGACTTGATAATCATGAGAACAGCAATAATAGCACTGCTGGCATCCCATAAGGAAGAAAAAAGAAAAAGTAAATTTGAAATCACAAGTAAAATTGATGAATGGAAGTCCCTGTACAGATAAATGGCAATCTAATCATTCACCCTAAAGCGCAATTTAGAAATCCCTGTACATTCAGCACCCAAACAAGCCACCCTGAAGCGCAATTTAGAACTGAAAAAGAAAAAAAAGAAAAGGAAATAAACACTCACGAAATCTAGAAACGCTACCTGTTTAGCCATGCTGCAAGCTTTCTCTGAAGAGTTCAAAATTTCATAGTAGAACACTGAAAAATTGAGCGCCAGACCGAGTCGTATGGGATGGGTAGGTGGCAGATCAGCAACCGCAATATCCTTGCAAAAGCCCCGAAAATTAGAACAAAAACAATTAAAAACCCAATATCAAGAAAACACACACAACGTGTTACCAGCACCACCCGAGTCTAAAAAAGAGAGATAAAGAAACCAAAACCAAAACAAAAAAGCTCAAATTAAGCCATTCCCTAGACTAAGAAGAGAGAGCCGAAGGGTTTCTAACCTGAGCAGCCTTGTAGGCAAGCATGGTATCCTCAGCGGCTTCTTTTCTTTCGGCCCCAATCTTAAATTCAGCAAGATACCTGTGATAATCACCTTTCATCTTGAGGTAAAAGACCTTAGACTCACTGGAATGAGCAGATGGGATCAGATGGGAATCAAGAAGCTTCAGGATCCCAGCACAAACAGTAGAGAGCTCCGCCTCGACCTTGGCCCTGTAATTCTTAACCACAGCAACGTGCTCCTCATTCTTTCTGCTCTCTTCTTTCTGCTCAATCGACGAAACTATGCGCCACGAGGCCCTCCGAGCGCCGATTACATTCTTGTAAGCAACAGAGAGAAGGTTTCGCTCCTCAACAGTGAGCTCGTCAGAGGAAGCCGCCTTCACCACCTGTTCCATGAAGTTTACCATTTCTTCGTATCTCTCAGCCTGCTCTGCAAGCTTGGCCAGGTAGACGTACTGCTCTCTGGTAAGGTGTTCAGCCATTAAAGCTTGGGGATATACAGAGAAAGAGAGAGAGAGAGAGAGATGTGATGTAGAGAGAGAAAGGGTTGTGAGGCGTTGTTTTATGTTTTATGGCTTATGGCGATGGTGTATCCCAGGTGGGTGTTTGTCTGGTACTGCAAAGAGATCAGAAGGAAGTGGGGTTGTCAATTCATAGCGAGAGAGAGGGGATAGAGAACAGGGCCTGTGACGAATAGTGAAGAGGGGCTAATTTGACATATGTAGAGAGAGAAAGAGAGAGAAGCAGGGTAGAGAGAGAAAGAGAGAGAGATGGTTTGGGGGCAAACAGAGAAGGGGGAGAGAGGGAGGCGGGGACAACAGAGACGTGGGTTTTTCTAGTCAGAGGGGATGTGAATGTGCAGGGGAGAGAGAGAGAGAGAGAGAGAGAGAGAAGAAGTAGTTATATATATGAGAGAGAGAGAGAGAGGAGGAGTAGGTAGAAGGGGTAGTAGTAGGTACGTAAAGGAAAGGAGTAGACGTAACGTACTTCGTGTACGTTCGTTACGTACGTTTTCGTGGG